GGGGTCTGTCCCTGCCCTTGGTGGCTGTGCACTGGGCACCACTGCTGGGTGTCCCTGTAAATTCATCTGGATGTCCAGACTGTGTAAAGAAGGGCATTTATACCATACACATTCCTTTGGATGTGGGAATGCCAGAGGTGAAAGAAAGGCTTTTGGTTCCCTCTGCATGAACCTTGCAGAGATGTAGAGAGTCTGCAGATTTCCTCACCTTTCCTTGTCAATGCACCAAAGGTCATTTGTTACTGGCCTGCTTATGGTGAAGTCATCCTCTTTGAAACAAGTCCTGAATGGTTTTGTGTTCTTCAGCATCTTTTTCCTAGCACTTCAAGTGCTCTCCTCTTTTGGCCTTTACTCTTGATATCTTTCTTGACAGTGATAGCAGCTGTCTCAGCCTTTGTCTTGCTCCTGGTAGTTATCTGTCAACTTTTTGCTGAAGCTCTTGTACGCCATGGAAATACACTTTCCCAGTTGTTCTTTAATACAAAAAATTCCCCAAGTCACAGCAATTAAGTCATGTCAGGTAGCTGTTTAGCACGCCTGTCACTTCTCTTCTGGCTTATGTATTGCTTGGTATCAACCCCTGTTCCAATTCTAGGAAGGATTTTGAATCGGTTATCTTCTTTCTGTTTGAATCTCTGCCTATTTTCCTCTGAGACTCTGTTGCAACATACAATTAATTTGCAATTACAAAATAAGCCAGATTCCTGGTACTGAATGTTATTTTCTTGGCAATGGAAACAGGCTTTGGGGGAAAGGCAGAAAGCTTCATATAGTAGAAAATAACCACCAAGCCTCATTGACATATAGTACAAGATATGCCAAAAGATCCAAGAGCTACCATTCTGTTCCCTATTAATGTACACAATTTTTAAGAACTGGACACTGCCATTGCTTTTTTCCTTAAAATATCATAAATGTTTCTGCAGATTTAACCACCTAGGCTGCATTAAATTAGCAGTGTTGCTTCCACACACAGCTCCAACTTCTCTGCACTTCTACCAAGTATATATATAAAAAAACAACAGTGAAAGATCACACTTTGGATGGGGAAGACACACAAAAAATATTTAATTTTCCCATCCAAAGCACACAGCAGGGACAGAATCCTTCCCTCTTCCCCATAACACATGGTGCTACCTTACGTTTCTTAAGACTCTTGAATATCATTATATTTTATTTTCAAATTAAATGGAATCCATTTTAACACGACATTTGTTTAAAGACCACAATACACATCTAGTAGTATGATGTCATCAAGGTGACAGTTTCTTTAGTACCCAGGACAATCTGTTTTATACTGAATTAAGCTGATACCTCTCAGATGACCTGTTGACCAGTTTCAGATGAGCCAGAACTGGTCAAGAATTTGCACCAAATATGGCAATTAGATTGAAACTAACGTGGTTTTGAAAAATGCAAAATTTTTGCTGTGTAGTTTCCAAACTAAAGCTTGGAAACTTACTTTGAAGTTTGTTGGAATTTAAAGCAAACTGAGGATTAAAAATGAAACTCCATGCAGCAAATAAAATTCTCTGCTTTTGGCTGCACAAAATGCTTAATCAAACAACTAGTTTTGATGGACTAAAGCATTTAATGCAGAAAATAACAGTTAAGTAGAAAATGGAAACAAAATCCTTAGTACATAGTTAATTCTTTTACAAAGAGCAATGTTCTGTTAGCATTTAGAGAATGAAAAAGTATCTTTGGAATAACACACAGGAAACACTTTAGGAAACGAATAATTCTAACATTAAGGTAATGAAAAAACAAGTTGGTGCCTTCCACCCTTGCGAAAAGATGTGAAAACAAACCAGTACAGCTACACGAGTTCTTTATCCATCCACACATAAACAATTCCAGTAAAGGGGGCACTTATAATTCAGTACAAGCCTGGAAACACTTCTTACACACACAGACCTAAGTCTGAAACACCAGGGCAGAAACTCCAAGGAAAAAATCTAACTAGCAGAAATATGAAACGCCATTACTTGGCCATTCACCTTGTATTCTATTTGTATGCAGAAGGTATAGAAAAAAATGAAGGGTCACTTGTAATGGATATTGCCCACTCATAATAGAAGAGCATTCAACTGAAAGCCATTTTGTGAAATAACAGAAAAGAAAGGTTGACAACACAAACACAGAAGTTGTTTTATTTTGGACATATGATCTTTATTTAAACTGCTACGTTGGAATAGCTTTATAGAATAATATTTCTGAGTAGAATTTTTTCTTTTTCCTCCTAAGTCTGTTCCATGCTTTGATGTTCATGGTTTAGTTCCCACGTTCTTCATGGGATGAAGAATTATTTATGTACAAAATTATACTCCAAAAGGCACCTCAATCAACATGACACCTTTATATTTATTTGTAGGCTATCACTTGCACAAATTGAAGTGAGCGTGGGAAATATACAGTGAACACAAGTTGTCAATAATAATAATCATAAAAGAGGAAAAATACAGAGTGTGGTATATGAAAGTTTCTTAATTTCTCCTTAGTATATTTATAATGAACCAATTTCCTCTCACTTTCCAGGTCTGTAAAATAAGACCTGTATATCTTCCCATTGCTTATCTGTAAGCTACAGAATTCCAAGCAGCCATGCTTAAAGGCATTTTATAAACTATATTTAATGTGGCATGATAATTTCTTTGTGTGGATAGTCACTGAACACATGAATTGTTCCTTTGCCAGGACAGCAGTTCTTGACGATGTTTTTACTGGCTTCCAGGAAAAGTTGCCATTTGATTCTATCTACGTCCAGTTCCTTCGCCAGTGATCTATCCAAGTCACAGGGTTCACAGATGAAAACCTCAGATGTCCTGCAGAAATTTAAGGTATCATCTCCCCTAGAGTCAATGCTACACCTTACGTACATACACGTACATACTGTTTTGCAAAACTCACTGTACCAACCAGCTTTACCCACGGGAAAGTAACTGTCTCCCTTTTGCAGCTAGGTCCATTTGCCTGCGGACTCTTCTGTTTCTGGGAGCTGCCTGTCAATTCTGTGACGATGAGGCCTGATGGAAGGAGAGAGCTTTGCACCAGCAACGCCAATGGCCAAGCTCAGCAGCAGTGATTTTCGGCAGCAACAGCAGGCAGCTCTCTGTTCACAGGATTATTGTCTCTGTCTCAGCATCTCACAGGTTTCATTTGAGCAGAATCTTTATGTTGAGTTTCTCTCTTCGTATCTCCTTTCTTAGTGTCTTTGGAAGGAAAAATGGAGGAAAAGAAAGCCCAGAGGAACAACTTACACCAGGATATCACTTCTCTTGCTGCACCATACTACCAGTGTTATCATGGCACACGTCAACAGGACTGGGATCAAGATCAGAGTTATGAGAATTTCATCCGGTGGATCTTCCCAGTGAACTTTTTCTGAAGTACAGTTTGAAAAGAATTGTTTGTGAATTCCAGTGATAAAGCCCTCGGCAAGGGGGTTTGGCCAAAAGCAACTTGCATTGTTGGCTTCACGTTCTGTGCACTGGGTGAAGTTGTCATAATACCTAGGAGAAAAAGAAAATAAAGAGAAGTTTAATGCATTTGCATATTACACTTAAAGAAAGATACACAAGGGTGCCATACAGAATCTGTTAAGAGTGGGTTTATCATCTACTCTGCCAAAGGACATTTAATGGAAGCTGTAGGTACTAAATACTAGACAGTAAGCCAGAAGAAGTGACTCGTGTATTCATACAACAGAGATTTCATGTGAAATCCTGAGATTCCAGATGTAAAGTGGTCAAAATCTTGTCTTTCAGGTGCCGTTACTACAGCCAGGACCTTCTAATTCCACCTAAGTAGATTCAGAACTCCCTCATTAGAGACACCTACAGCGTCTTTAAAAAACACACAAACAAGTGTGTCCAGAACAGGGAATTTTGAGCAAAGTATGGATAATTCATATCTTATTTGTCATTGGACCTGATGTTGTGGCAAAAATGATGGTATGACACTGGGATTGACCCACAACATATCTTACTGTGTAACAATCTCAGGTCTGTTGTACCCTCAGGCAGTATGAAAATAATGGGAAAATAAACACACAGAAAGCTAGCTTTTGACAACCTTTATCATCTTCCCCACTCCAACTAATGCCCAGCAGCAGAAAAAGAGGAAAAGAAATAAATCATTCCTAATTACACATGTTCGTAATGCTCATGAAAGATTGGGAGCAGCCTATAATATCTAACACTTGATTTCAACACAGCATGTGCTGAAACTTACCTGTCCAGGAATAGCTTACATTTATGAGAACTGGCTACCCCTCAGGAAAAAGGAAACGATAAGCCTAAATGAGTAATCGGATGGCTTTGTGGTCTTACCATAAGCCAAAGAAATTCAGGAAACAAATGGAGTGTGGGGGAAGGAGACTGGAAATTAAGACGACGAAGATGTCTAGTCACTACAGGAATAAGGCAAGAAATAAGGAAGCTGATTTATTGTCTGTTACATTTTTATATATTTCTTTCAGACCCACATGACTCAATAAACTCGCTTCAAAGGGAAATTAAAAATAGAAAGGATGGAGCAAGAAACCACATGACATCTCAAGGGATAGAATCCTGCACTATTATCTGAGTGCCCTACCTTCCCTTTCAGCACATATAAATACAGTTACTCAGGATGAATGACTCGTTCTGACACTGAGTACCACAGGGGACTAATGCTGAGTCAATCCTTTGCTGTGAAGTAGTGGAGGAGAGACATTCAGTGTTCGGGTCAAGACTGAAGTCCACTATCTAGCGTCTGTCTGTCAGGGGAAATGCCTGCCTGCCCATGCTACAAGCACATAAGTCGAGAATGAAGGCTGCAGAGCATCTGTTCAAAGAGGAAGGAAAAAGCCTCAGAGAAAACTCCTTCTGTGACCCGCTCAAAGTTCTCAGGGAGTTTGAGCTGATGCCACTTCATTGATAAGAAAAATGCGCTGGACGACCTGACAAGCCCATACCCTGATTCTGCGGGATGCAGATGCATATATATGCACAATATATGTACATTTTAAGCAAAACAACTAGGAAGGAAGCTTTTATGACAATGTCAGCAGCTGCAGGGAAACAACAGGAAATAAACTAAAAATAAATTACAAATATTAGGTGTTTGTTATTTTAATAGTGTCATTCCTCCATGTGACCTGGTAGCATCCATTCTTTATGTCCTTGGACTAAATTAGAAGCTGAAGATGTCTAGCAGAATATGGGAGAGACAGTCCCAGGGGACCTGGAGAATAATACATCTAAAGGCATGCCTACAAGGCTCAAGCTAGCATCCAGCTGCCTAGACAGGTCAGTGCTCTGTCTGGCACAGACACCAGGCAGGGCTCCAGAGAGCACGGGGCTCTGCTCCAGTCCTGCTCCAGGCCATGCCCTGCAGAACAAGCTTGTCCCCATCAATGGTTGCTTCAGCTTCTTGCTGCCACAGCCTCCTCAATTTCCCACCTGTTTGTGCAGAATAACAAAAAAAAACAATAAAACCTGGTGACCTGAGCAGACTTCATATAGAATACACTAACATAAAAGATTTAATAATATAAAATTTCTTTTTTTCTCTGTGTCTGAAACCTATATAAAGTTCACTGTTCTTCTAAGTATTCTGTAGGGTTTTTTCATAAGTTTTAGATAATGTAAACAAAACCCTTTCCCATCAATTTTACATTTCAAGTATAACATGACTAGAAAAATTTGGTTAAGTGTTGTCAAAAGACCAGACAAAAATAATTAGGGAATAACATAGTCTTTAAAAGACTGAGTTCCTAAAATTAAAAAAAAAATCAAATAAAAATGTTATCTTAATAGTTTGAATTCCTTACAATTTTCCTTTAACATCCTCTTCTCTCAAAAACATAACTGGTTTTCCACACAACTGTATGTAGATAAGAAAAAAAATCTTAACTATTTCAGAATTACCTATCTGGCAGTAGAGCTCAATTCACTTAAATATTTATGTAATTTAGTAATTTCAAGTTTATGCACTTCAACAGAAAGTTCACGTTAAAAAAACCCATCTTTTGCATAGTATTGTGTAACTGCTGCCTCAGAAGGGAGCAAGTGAATCTTCATTACCACAGCTTGGATGTTTTGCAGTCCATCAATTGGTTTCAAGTTATTGAGCTCTTCTAATAGGGAGGTGGGTGTTAATAGATATTTAATTCTAATTCTATTCCTCTTAGCTCTATTATGCCTTACGTAATTCTCTGTATTCAAATGGTAAAGTCTAGAGTAAAAAACCTTTTCATTCTGTAAAACAAAATTACTACCTCAAAAATGCCCTGGCCTCTGACTGGAGGTGCTTCCACACAAATGCATAAAAATTACATAATTTGTGAAAGAACAAGAAATGACATTTTCTACTTATTCCCAGGACACGTAATTGGAGAGCAATACAGTAGCACCAGCTCCTTCACCTCTCAGATTATAAGAAGGTGTGGGAAGGTTATTACTCTGTGCTGAGTCACATTTTCACCTCTTCCAGGCTAGGTACAAGGACGTTAGTCAGTTAAGACTCTGAAGAGGTACATTCACTGGGAGCCAGATCACAAGCTTTGTAATCAGTGGGCTCAAAAATTAACATATCAGTGAGTTTCAACTCCACTCAGTAGGCCAGTACCAAAAACCAAAAACTAAGTATATTTGAGCTCCAAAATCCATATAAAGATATGCTTTCCCCTGATATCTTCAGAAGAATCATTGTAAGTTTTACTGGGAAACCAACTACTTGGTCATACTGTGTATTATTGAAAATACACCCTTTCAGAGAAAATGAAAAATACTTATTTCCTCTTCGGAGAAATCTCTGAGCTGTAACACATTTGTCATGAAAGACAATTTTCAATATTCTAGAACAATACTTTCTTTTCAGAGCACAAACACTTTTTCTGTTGCACTTTATGTTTCCACTAAAACAGATAATGCTTGTGTGGTTTGGTTTTGTAAAAACTGTGGAAAATATTATTTTGTGAGTTATTTTACTTGTGAGAAAACATATTTATATATATTTACCTATAACCAAGAACCTGGGCAATAAGCAGTTTTTTGGAATGTTATTTCATATACCTTTGTCTTAATGCAACAGTGTTTCAAGGAGCATCCACTCAAACTATTTAAATAGACAGCTCACCCATCTCTGGGAACCCCATTGTCTACCACTCAGGGCACTTCTCAGTCGAAGTGTACTCTTCAATCTCATCCCCGGGGAAAAATGTGGTAAATTCTTCGTCTTTCTTCCTCAATACCCCTGCACACAATTACTGCAGAGATTACTGGTTTACAAACAAATAAAAAAATCCAACTCCCTCCTCCAAGTTTTCATGAGATCAAGCAAAGAAATAGATTGTTTCATTAAGAGTTTCAACAAATGAGCACTTTCCAAAGAAAATTTATTTTGTCAAAAAATCCCAAACAATTCTCGAAAAGCAGAGTACCATGTATCATGTTACTGAAGACAAACTTCTGAAGGCATTCTTTGGCTGGAGCCAGCAGACCCACCGGCAGTTCCAGTAAGAGAATTTTACCACCTCTCCAGAGCTGATGGACAGACCACCCCCAAGACACTCTGCACACATACGTTTTGCCATGGCTTAATGAGATGGGTCAGGAATTAAAAAACAAAACAATCACCACATGTTCATTATCCTGTTTTATATAAATCAGCTTCATGATTAGTGAAATAATTATGGTACAGCAGAGTAGATCCATTATGAGTTAATTTTTGTTATTCTGAGTCCACTAAGCATTCAGAAAATACAAGAATACAGGAAAAATTATCTCCAGCATAAACAAGCTTTGATGTCAATCAACTAATAGATACACCAGGGACACTCACTCCTTCTGCTATTCTACAATCCTGGACAGGAATCTAGAGGCACTGTTCCAGGATATTACAAGTTACGTGGTGCATTTTAATGAAGATGTTTCAAAACTCTTCCCCCCCACCCCCCCCAGATAATTCAATCAAGACATTATACATAGTCATATACTGAATTAGAATTCAAAGTGAATAATTGCCCGTGTAACCTCCACCCAGTCTGGTATGACAAATGTTGAAATAATTATTATAAATAAATATCTTATGATGAGAAAGGCTCTTCTTACAGCACTTCCAGATGAAGTGGTGGCAGGAAGTACGAAATAGCCTCACCAAAAAAAACCCCAAAACACAAAAAATAAAAACAAAAACCAAAACAAACAAACAAAACTAAAAAAAAACAACAAAAAACCCCAAACCAACCAAACAAAATAAACCCCAGCAAGCTTATTCTTGTGTGATATGCAGCCAGATTTTATAAAACTTACGGGTGTAACAGTCTGGATGAACTTCAAATAAGGATCCAAACCTTAAGATTATTATCTCCTGAAGTTTCATCATGTTAAAAAGAAAGCTTTAGTTTTATAAGCAGCTATGACCCTACAAATATGGTGGAATATTTTTGAGCTTTTTTCATTTAGCATCTCTCCAAACAGATTTGTGGCTATATCTCACCATTCATTTAATCATATTTCTTCTGCCA